CTTAATCACCACAAATTTGTAGCTGGTAACTCAAGACAAGTGGGGGTTGCTTGGCGTCACTTTATGGGAGTTTTCGGCAGAGGGCGGGGCTGTGGTGGCGCGGCGAATTCAGGCGTACCGCCTTGGCCTTACGTTTGCCTCCCATTTCGTCATTTCCAAAGATATCGTCACGAAACTTCTTGTGAGTGATCCTAGTCCGGCCCCCCAAAAGATCTGATGTGAACATCTGGTGGGCGTGGCCTATTTTCTGAAATAGCGCCCCCTAGGACCATTAAAACTATTAGCCCCAAGCCATGCTTTGACTGAGGATTACGAAATTTGGTACACTAATGTGGTGTCTCAGGACCTACAAAAAAGTCTCTTGGAGTCAAGTTCAAAGTCGCACAGGAAGTCGGCCATTTTGGATCAAGTACGCGATTTAGTGGTTTTCGCACACGTTGTTTGGAGAGTGATGCTCCGTCGCCCTTTTCACCAATCTCCTTCAAACTTCTGCTATATACCCTTAAGACATAGGGGAAAAAATTCAACCGTCGGATTTTTCAAAAGTTGAAAGGTGTGGGCGTGGCTAAGCCTCAAACTTTGACCTGTCGCCACGCTACTCTTTTTTTCACAGCTCCCTACTGGACTCCTTTTACCCAATCACCAGGATTCTGTGGCAAACAGCAGTAGACAAGTTGAGGTTACTTGGTCTCCAGTACTGGCAGGTTTTGAAAAAAGGCGGGGCTTTGGGACCATGGCGAAAATCGCCATCACGCCATGGAAATACGTTTGTCTCTCATTTCTTCAGTTATCGTGATATTGCTACGAAACTTCTGGTGAGTGATCCTAGTCTGAGCTCCAAGAGAAATAGACAGCTGAATTTTGTGGGCGTGGCCTATGTTTTGAAATAGCGCCCCCTAGGACCATTTAAACTATTAGCCCCAAGCCATGCTTTGACTGAGGATTACGAAATTTGGTACACTAATGTGGTGTCTCAGGACCTACAAAAAAGTCTCTTGGAGTCAAGTTCAAAGTCGCACAGGAAGTCGGCCATTTTGGATCAAGTACGCGATTTAGTGGTTTTCGCACACGTTGTTTGGAGAGTGATGCTCCGTCGCCCTTTTCACCAATCTCCTTCAAACTTCTGCTATATACCCTTAAGACATAGGGGAAAAAATTTAACCGTCGGATTTTTCAAAAGTTGAAAGGTGTGGGCGTGGCTAAGCCTCAAACTTTGACCTGTCGCCACGCTACTCTTTTTTTCACAGCTCCCTACTGGACTCCTTTTACCCAATCACCAGGATTCTGTGGCAAACAGCAGTAGACAAGTTGAGGTTACTTGGTCTCCAGTACTGGCAGGTTTTGAAAAAAGGCGGGGCTTTGGGACCATGGCGAAAATCGCCATCACGCCATGGAAATACGTTTGTCTCATTTCTTCAGTTATCGTGATATTGCTACGAAACTTCTGGTGAGTGATCCTAGTCTGAGCTCCAAGAGAAATAGACAGCTGAAGTTTGTGGGCGTGGCCTATATTCTTAAATAGCGCCCCCTAGAGCCATTAAAACTTTCAGCCCCAAGCCATGCTTTGACTGAGGATTACGAAATTTGGTACACTAATGTGGGGTCTCAGGACCTACAAAAAAGTCTCTTGGAGCCAAGCGTAAAGTCGCACAGGAAGTCGGCCATTTTGGTGCAAGTACGTGATTTAGTGGTTTTCGCACACATTGTTTGGAGAGTGATGCTCCGTCGCCCTTTTCACCAATCACCTTCAAACTTCTGCAATACACTCTTAAGACATAGGGGAAAAAATTCAACCGTCGGATTTTTCAAAAGTTGAAAGGTGTGGGCGTGGCTAAGCCTCAAACGTTGACCTTTCGCCATTACTTTACTTGACTTAATAACTCCCATGTGCATGATCAGATCTTTTTCGAACTTTGTCTGTGTGATCATTGACCATATCTGTAAACAATGACAATGTGGACAGCTGACATCACCTAAGCCCCGCCCCCTGACTACAGGAATTTATTTTTTATGCTGAAATGCCCATATTTGTCCCCTCTAATTTAGTCAACATGACCCTAAGGTCATGCACTGTCTTCATGATGCTGTAATGACCATTCAGATCTGATAGCTTTCCAGAAAGGGAGGGGCTTTGATGCCATGGCGAATTCTGGCGTAACGCCGTAATCTTAATATTCAATTTAATGGTGAGCTCAGAGGGGATGCTGAGTCAGGGTGAGGTGCAGACTAGGAGGCCATTCGCGGTTTCTGGTGTCGGGGTGGTTGACGTTTCTGTTCTGTCAGACGTGCACTGGTGCGACGGCAGACCGGAGCGGCGCGGAGCTGCGAGGGCCGAACGACGCTGCTTGCAGCTTTAATTTCTTTTCTTTTCTTTTCTTTTCTTTTCTTTTCTTTTCTTTTCTTTTCTTTTCTTTTCTTTTCTTTTCTTTTCTTTTCTTTTCTTTTCTTTTCTGAAGAAGCTGTTTGTATAATCACTCTGATTAATTAAACTTAGACACCTGTTACCTCTTCATCATCTCCTTTGATGAAAACTCTTCTCTCATTCTCTTCATCGTCTCACACCATCGCTCTTCCATCTGCAGCTCTTTTTTATTTCTTGTGGCCAGGATGCTGTGTTGTACATTTAAGCCTTTTTTCAAGAGCCTCCTCCAGGTTGAAATGTGGGACAGGAGAGAGAGAGAGCGGAAAAGGGAACCTGCCTGCTCGAAAAGCAGTTTTCTTTTTTATTTATTCTTGTATAAATCAGAAATTTCTGTTAAAAAAGCTTACCGGTCTGCCGCTTTACGCCTCACCTCCTCCTCACCTAGTGCTGAGGATACTGTGGTTCTGGCATCACAGCGCTGGCACAGAGAAGCAGGGAGGAAAGAAATCAATAGACATCAACATGCAACACTGCATCAAGACTGTTACTGCCCAGAGAGAGGAAAGGGATGCAGCGAGAGACGAGCGGAGAGGCAGAGTAAGCAAAAGGAACAAAAAATGCAGAGAAGACGACATAATCAGGAGGGAAAAATGGGTTTGATTTAACCAGAGAATGAAAAGGAAGCAGAACAAGGCGAGGGGTTAATTATAAAGGCTAATTACAGACACAGAGAAGAGATGCTGCAGAGTTGGAGGTGAAAAGACCGTCGGTCAGAAACAGAGAGATGGTTTGTTTTGTGACTCCGAATGCAGCTTCCAGCAAAAGAGCTCTGCACCTTTAAACAGAAAAATCCTGCTGTAAATGTGTGACTACCATCCTCCCACAACCGTGCTGCTCGTCTCCTTACTAAAACAAGATTTAAACGGCAATAAAAAGACAATAAAACCCAGAAAACACTTGAATGAAGATGTTTGGGTCTATAAGACACCTGAGGAGCCACCAGGGGTACGTGACCCAACATCTGACCAGAACAGCTCCAGGTTTGGCCGTTGAATAACTCAACCACTCATAAATAAATTAAAAAAGATAATCCCCTTTAATATCCTCATGTGGGTTTTTACAGGAGGTAGGGCCACAAAAGAAACTTTTTTAAATTAAACTTTTGTTTTCTATTTGTACTCAGTGATCAAGTCATTAAACACAACATTATAAAGAACAGAACCAACTATTTGGTTTTTTTAAAGGCAAATTAAGCAACTTTCTCATATTTTTAAACCATTTTCTTGCACCACCAGGGGTTTTCAGTATTCTGATTATTCTAACATTCTGAGAAACAGAAATTTGGATTTTTATTAGTCATCAGTTATGAGAATTTAAGAAATAAATATTGGAAATATATCAGTCTGTGTGTAATGAATGAGTCTGATATACAAGTTTCACTTTCTGAATGGAATTACTGAAATAAATCAACTTTGTCATGATATTCTAATTTTATGACAGGTGTCTGTCTGCAGTCGAGGCTGCACAAAACCCCTCTGAGGGCCACAGATTCAATTCAATTCAATTTTATTTATATAGCGCCAAATCACGACAAGAGTCGTCTCAAGGCACTTCACATAATAAACATTCAAATTCAGGTCAGTTCATTAAGCCAATCAGAAATAATATTTCCTATAAGGAACCCAGCAAATTGCATTGAGTCACTGACTAGTGTCAGAGTCTTTACAGCAATCCTCATACTAAGCAAGCATTTAACGACAGTGGAGAGGAAAACTCCGTTTTTACAGGAAGAAACTTCCAGAGGATCCTGGCTCAGTATAAGCAGCCATCCTCCACGACTCAATGGGGATCAAGAAGACAGAGCACACACACGCACGCATGCATGCACACACACACACACACACAAATAAACACACACACAAAGCAATGTGTCTATGATTACATTGTGATTGCTTAGTAAATATTCTATTTGGCGAGAGATAAACTTTATTGTATTTATCCTAGTGGATCTATAATTAAACGGGTAAACTAGTAGTAGCACATCCAACGTCAAGGAAAGCAACAAGTTATTATCAGGAGAGGGAGAATGTTTAAGTGGTTAGCAGCAGTGTGCTAGTCGATAGCCCCCTCCATGAGGCCACCACAGCTCAGCAGAACATCACTGTAGCTTCTTCTGGGGCCATACCTTGGACACCTCTGGATTAGAGGATTTAACAGAAAAATCCTAATAATCTCCACTAATTTGTGTCAAGTTTTAATTCAATTCAATTCAGTTCAATTCAAGTTTATTTATATAGCGCCGAGTCGTCTCAAGGCACTTAACACAGTAAACATCCCAATACAGGTCAGTTCATTAAGCCAATCAGTAAAAAGTTTCCTATATAAGGAACCCAGCAGGTTGCATCAAGTCACTGACTAGTGTCTGACTAGTGTCTGACTAGTGTCAGAGTCTTAAAGGCAATCCTCATACTAAGCAAGGTACAAAAATGACAAAAATACAGTTCTGGGAACTTTGCTTTCATGTTTGTTTCGCTGTGGGAACTTAGTATTTTAAACCAATTATTTGTGTTAAAGCTCTTAATGGTCAAGATGTGCACTGATGTTTTTTTATTTGTTTTTATTTGTGTTTGTGTTGCAGGACAGCTCACGCTCAGGGGAAATCCGAGGCGGCGGTGGGAGCCGCCCAGAAAGCTCAGGAGGAGAGTCGGATGGCCAGAGTCAC